CATTTGTGTCCAGGGGTTGGTGGGCACGGTGGGGGCGGTGCGGGGTGGGAAGGGTGTAGGGAGGGCCGGGTGCTGGGCTCAGGTACCAGGATCAGGGGTGCTGGCCTCGTCCCGTCTCTGGGTGCTGTCTCCCCCTCAGTCCTCTGTCCTGCTCACCCCTCCCCCCTTTCTCTGCAGTCGTCCCTCATGGATCTCGCTGATGTCTTTACGGCCCCGGCTCCTCCGACGGCCTCAGACCCCTGGGGGGCCCCAGCACCCATGGCCACTGCCATCCCCACAGCCACCCCTGCCTCGGACCCTTGGGGGGGACCTCCTGTTCCTCCAGCTGCTGATCCCTGGGGTGGCCCGGCCCCTACCCCAGCCTCCGGGGACCCCTGGAGGCCTGCTGCCCCTGCAGGGCCCCCGGCTGCCCCTTGGGGTGGGACCCAGGCCCCTGCAGCTGGAGAGGGGCCCACCCCTGACCCGTGGGGGAGCTCAGACAGTGGGGCCCTGGTTGGTGGACCCCCAGCTGCTGATCCCTGAGCCCCAGCCCCAGCCTTCTCAGACCCCTGGGCGGGGGAGGGGCGTTACCTGCCAAGCCCAGCACCAACGGCACTGCAGGAGCTGTGCCCACTGCGGTCCCGGACTCGGCCCACAAGCTGTTCATCGGGGGCTTACCCAACTACCTCAACGATGACCAGGTGAAAGAGCTGCTGACATGGTTCGGGCCTCTCAAGGCCTTCAACCTGGTCAAGGACAGCGCCACCGGGCTCTCCAAGGGCTGCGCCTTCTGTGAGTATGTGGACATCAACGTCACGGATCAGGCCATGGCGGGGCTGAACGGGATGCAGCTGGGGGACAAGAAACTGCTGGTCCAGAGGGCGGGTGTGGGAGCCAAGAATGCCACGCCGAGCACCATCCACCAGTCCCCCGTGACCCTGCAAGTGCCGGGCCTGCTGAGCTCCCAGGTGCATCCAGCCTGATGGGGGGAGGGGCTGGGCCTGACGCAGAGGGGTGAGGGCAGGGGGCCTGGAGCCACAGATTCGAGGAGACAACCCCCATCTGCCACAGGTGGGCCCAGCCCCTCACGCGCCTCCTTCTCACCAGGTGGGGCCCTGGTCGGTGGACCCCCAGCTGCTGATCCCTGGGCCCCAGCCCCGGCCTTCTCGGACCCCTGGGGGGGGTCACCTGCCAAGCCCAGCACCAACGGCACTGCAGGAGCTGTGCCCACTGCGGTCCCGGACTCGGCCCACAAGCTGTTCATCGGGGGCTTACCCAACTACCTCAACGATGACCAGGTGAAAGAGCTGCTGACATGGTCCGCTCCCCCAGGCCCGCCCAGGCAGGGTCGAGTTGGCGGGTGTGCAGCCTGGCCAGGCCCAGGGCCCATCTTGTATAAAAACAGCTTTATTTATTGAGTCTAACTGACCGTCCCCATCCCCATCTTCAACAACAAACGTTAGCTGTGTCGTGAGATGATTTCAGGCTTAGAGGAAACTGGGACAACAGCATAAAGAGGTTCCTTCCTCGGCTCAGCCCGGCCTCTGGCCTCCCTGCCCCGGGCGGTTCTCCCCGGTGCCTCCCTGTGCCCTGCGCAGCCCTCCCTCACCTGCCCTGCCCCCTGCCCCTCCCCCCTGCCCGGGGGCAGGTAGCACCGTGTTCCCGCAGTCTGTCTGTGGCCCCTGTGGTCCCTCTTTCAGTGAAGCGGGGCCTCTGGGGCTCCCGTGTGCCTGTCTCAGCACTAGATGGGGTTCCTGAGTCAGCTTTTACAGCAGACGGCCAAGGACTCGGCCCCCAGCCCGCCTGCCCGCCTCCCACCGCGTGTGGGCCCAGCAGGCTCTGCTCTGGAGGTCTCCA